CCTACTTGCTCTGCATGTTGTTAACTTTTTCCATTAAACCCCTTGCCATATTAATCATAGTTATTTAAAATTCCCTGTCTGATAATTACAAAAGCTATGCCATAGCCAAGTTGGATTCTGCTTTGTGTATGTATGTGTGTGTGTGTGTGTATGTATATGTGTGTGTGTGTGTGTGTGTGTGTGTGTGTGTGTGTGTGTGTGTAGATTTCAGAGAGGAAGGGAGAGGGAGAGGGAGATAAAAACATCAATGATGATAGAGAAGCATTGATTGGCTGCCTCCTGCATGCCCCCTACTGGGGATCAAGCCCATAACCTGGACATGTGCCCTTGACCTGAATTGAACTGGGGACCTTTCAGTCCACGGACCGATGCTCTATCCACTGAGCCAAACCAGCTAGGGCCTTGCTTTGTTTCTTTAGACTACACTTGTACTTGCCTGTTAATAGTGTTATCAGTGAGGAGCTCTCTGTGTCCCCACCTGTGGCCAGTGGAAGTGGGTTCCTTGCAATGTCACAAGAAAAGGAATTTTCTGAGATTTGCATAGGAAAATGAGTGATATTTATTGGTATGGGATTAAATTCCTGAGTTTCCAAGGTTCCCTCTCCCTCCATCCAGCCATGGAAGAAGTCCAGCTTTGTTATCAGCAGAGCTAGGATGAGAGGTGTTGCCCATTCCATCTTTGCACAGTCCAGTCCAGTATCAGGCTAGCTTGTGTTCCCAGCTGCAGCCCAGTAAGTGTGGGGTCCACATGGCCACGGGCCATGCAGATTTTAGGGCCACATGGCTATGGAGGTAACATGGGTGAGTACAAGGAAGCAGGAGCAAAGCCAGGGGAACAAGAGAGGGAGAATCTGGGATTTTAAGATTTCATGAGCTTGCAGTGGCTCCACCCTCTCTAGCCAATTATCTTTGTTCCAGGTTAGACTGACAAGCACCTTCCCTGCTTCACCCCAACTTTACTGAGCATGTATCAGTCTTCCCCTTTGTCGGGTCCCTTCCTCCAGTAATCTGCAGGGAATGGAACAGTGGTTCCCTGGGGAGTGTGAAACTGCAGCTTCCTGGTGAAGCTGCCCAGATGGTCATTCTTATAATGTCTGGCTTACCCTTTGCTCCTTATTATCCTATCTAATAAAAGAGAAACATGGTAATTAGCGTACAACTGCTACCCTTCCCATTGGCTATTCAGCAAGATATGCAAATTAACTGCCAGCCAAGATGGCGGCCGGCAGCCCAGGCAGCTTGAAACTAACATGAGGCTTGCTTGCTTCAGTGACGGAGGACTCCAACGTTCCCCGCCTGCCTTGCCGGCCTCTGAGCCAGCAGTTTGAAACATTGTAATAAACACAGAAGCTAAACAAAACCCCAGAAACCTGCTTTCAGCCAGCCAGGATCTCAGAGCTGGAGTTATACATTGTTTCGATTATAGAACCCAGCAGAGGCCTCAGAGCTGGAGCCAGAGCTAAAGCTGGCCCAGAGTAAAAAAAAAAAAAAGAAAAAAAGGAGCAGTTGGGAGCTTCAGTCACCCGAGAGCCTGAAAACAGCCCTCAGCCCCTCACCCAGGCTGGCCAGGCACCCCAGTGGGGACCCCCACCCTGAAGGGTGTGTGACCAGCTGCAAACAGCCATCATCCCCTCACCCAGGCTGGCCAGGCACCCCAGTGGGGACCCCCACCCTGGTCCAGGACACCCTTCAGGGCAAACCAGCCAGCCCCACCCATACACCAGGCCTCTATCCTATATAGTAAAAGGGTAATATGCCTCCCAGCACTGGGATCAGCGGAGCTGCGAGGCCTCCCAGCACTGGGATCAGCGTGACAGGGGGCAGCGCCCAAACCCCCTGATCTCCCTGCTCTGTGTGTGACAGGGGGCGGTGCCCCAACTCCCCTATCGGCCCTCCTCTGTGAGTGACAGGGGGGAGCTCCCCAACCCCCTGATGGGCCCTGCTCTGTGTGTGACAGCGGGGAGCTCCCCAACCCCCTGATCGACCCTGCTCTGTGCGTGACAGGGTAAGGAGCCCCAACCCCCCTGATGGGCCCTGCTCTGTGAGTGACAGGGGGCAGCGCCCCAACCCCCTGATCAGCCCTGCTCTGTGCGTGACGGGGGTGGCACCGCAACCTCCCCATCGACCCTGCCTTGAGTGTGACAGGGGGTGGTGCCCCAACCCCCCAATCAGCCCTACCCTAAGCATGACTGAGGGTGGCATTGCAACCTCCCAATCTGCCCTGCTCTGTGAATGACAAGGGGCGGTGCCCCAACTCCCCAATCGGCCCTGCTCTGAGCCCGACCAGGGGCTGCACCTAGGGATTAGGCCTGCCCTCTGCCACCCGGGAGCAGGCCTAAGCCAGCAGGGCGTTATCTCCCGAGGGGTCCCAGACTGTGAGAGGGCACAGGCCAGGCTGAGGGGCCCCCCCTTCCCCCCCGAGTGCACAAATTTTTGTGCACCGGGCCTCTAGTCCTTATATAATAAAAGGCTAATATGCAAATTGACCAAATGGCAGAATGACCAGTTGCTGTGACAGGCACTGACCACCAGGGGGCAGACGTTCAACGCAGGAGCTGCCCTCTGATGGTCAGTGCTCTCCCACAGGGGGAGCACCGCTCAGCCAGAAGCCCGTACACCGGGCTCTAGTTATTAACACATTGTATGCGGGAAACGTGTTTACACGTTTTACGTATTTATACGTTCTACCAGTGTAGTACAGGGCGGGACACGTATTAATACGTTTTTTATAGACTAGCGGTAGAATGCGGGTAACGTATAAATACGTAAACTAAAGTTATCGTAATTTTACTGAACGTTGCCATTTGCGCAAAAAATTAGCAAAAATGGCCCTCACCACCTGTTAGCGCGCGATAAAAACTACCCGCAAACAATGTATTAATAACTAGCTACTTACAACAGTAACAATAGGTCTTGTAATTTTTGGTTAAAATCCAGATATCATGTATCTGGTATGGGAACGGGAGTGAATTGGCTTTTAAGGTCAGGTTTTATGTTAATCTGTTTAGGAGCTGTGTTTAATGTTTGCCATACAGGTAGATATCAGAGGCTTCAATTTCCTTCAGAGTCTTTCTTTTCTTTGGATTTTCCTAACAAAATTCTTATATAGAGACTGTACCCTGAAGATCTTTCAACTGTAACCCAGTTATTTTACTGGAGCCCTGTAGATGTGGTGGTAAGGTGAAGGGGAAGGGGCAGCATTCTATAATCTTGTTTCAGTCTTTAGTGGGCCTTTGTCCTTGGGCTGTGACCTTCACAAGTATTTCTTATCCTTTCCCCCATTGGAAGAAACAGGAAGGCTAGGAGGGGCTGGGTTTGGGTAATGCCCCCCCCCCCCAAATCTCTGGCTAAGTTTCCCCCCACACCCCCCGCTGAGTAAGCCTCTTTCTTATGGAAGAAGACTGGGTATATTTAAGAAATGGTTTCTTTTCTTCTCTGCCAGAAACATGAGGGTTTTTTCATTGTCTCTTCACCTTGAGAATCTGGTGAGGTTCCTGGAGGGAAATCCATGGACATGTTCCCCTAAGACTGCAGCTCCCAGGAGGTTCTCACTCACACACTAGTCCATGCTCAAACTCTGATAACTTGTCAAAGTTACTGTTTAAATGTTCTTATCAGCGTAAGGCTCCAGGGCCTTCTGTCTCCAGGGAAGCTGATCTTGGCTGTAACTCTCTGTATTTGCCCGTCTCTCCCGATTCTTGGGGAAGTTTGCCTTGCAATCTCAATTCTCTGATGACTCCAAGAAAAGTAATAGATTTTCAGGTGTTTTTTTTGTTTTTTTGTTTTTTTTGTTTTGAATATGAGTGACAATTTTCAAGTTCTTTGCTTAGATTTTTTAAATTTATTTTAGAAATTGCCTTACAAGGCTTTCTTAATGTTCCTTGATCTACAATTTCTACTTCTACACCCACTCCACTGGAGGAATCTAAAAACTGAGTTTCCTTTATGACTTGTGAGGACAATATCATTAGTGAATAGATTCTAACTAAGCAAGTCATCTTAATATTCACAAACACATATAAAAAAGGCTGGGTGTGGAAGTTAGGCCATCACCTGCAACCTGGACCTGGCTTCAAAGCCAGCCATCTGCTTGTTCATTGATGGCAGCTGGTATAACAGGAAGAACTTGGGAAGGAAATTAGCAAACCCAGTTGAAGTTCATACTCTGTCATTAACTGGGTGAACTGGAGTGAGTCTTTTGTTGATCAGTGTCACTAGCTATAAAATTGGAATAAGGACATTGGCATTAAGGCCTCCACCAGTTTTGGGGGGAGATCACAACTTGTCTGAGCTTCAATTTCTGCGCCTGTTACAATGAAGTCTTGTGCCCTCGTCACCTCACAGTTGTTGTATGTGTGTTGTTGTGTTTTTTTGTTGTTTTTTTTGGGGGGGCGGGGGGCCGAGAAGCGGGGGTGAGAGGGAGATGGCACAACCTTTCTGAGCGTCAATTTCTAAGAACACACAGCCAGCCCGCCAATAAAATTCCTGGAAAAACAGAGGGAAAGGAACAGAACATTTTTGCAAAATGCAGAGGGTTCTACCAATGTGAACTGACTCATATTTAAAACACAACAAACTGACTTAAAAAGCGTTGATGCGTCTCTTACCTTCTGGTTCCAGCATTACTACCCCATTGCAGAAATGAAGACCACTTTTGAAAAAAAATTATCGCCCGCCTGGGTTCCCACCTGCGCGCTGGCCACACCCCGCAAGGCTGGGGCAGGGCGGTGGGGGCGTGGCCTAGCCGGCCTGCCCCACGCGACGCCCCGCCCTGTCGCGCCCGCGCCTGCGCCGTGCGCACCGACCGCTGTCGAGCGCCCGGGTGGGAGGTAAGGGGCTCGCGGGAGGCCGCCTTCGGGGCGTCAGGCCCAGATCCTCAGGGTGGGCTGGGCGCGCGGGAGAGGCGCCCCGCGAGAGCCGGGCTTCCTGTCGTACATGCCAGCGTCGTGGGACGCCTCTCGGCGCCGAGAAGTGGCGGTTTCGTTTTTAGAAGCACTCACCGCAGCGGGTGTAGAGAGGCGGCCGACGGGACGAGCGTGACGGCCTCCCGAGGTCGGGGGTGGAAAAGTGCCCGGCGTCTGCCCTGCCCGTGACGCACTGTGGGCGCCAGGCCCTCAGGGTCCCCGGCGTCTCGGACCCGAGCCCGGCCCGCGCATCCGTTCCTGGTGGGGGTCCTTTGGGGGGCTGGCCCAGGTGCGCCGTGGGGCACACTGCGAGGGGTGGGGGTGACGCGAGGCTCGCGGTGCTGAGGGGAGGGCCAGGTGCGCGGGGTCGGAGCCTCCTGGCAGCCCGACCGGGAGGTGTTGCACTGAAGGTTCCCCGTCCGACTCGCCCCTTTTGCACCTTCGGAACCCGAGGCTCCGAGAGGAGACCATACGGTAGGACCCACGGCCCTGACTTCCCAGATTCGGTACCCCGTCCCACAGTCAGAAACTCGGGGCCACCAATTGGGGGGGGGAGGGGGTATCCAGGCTGCTGGAAGGTGTCGGTCACTCTTGAGTGGGTGGGGCGGTGTTCCAGAGATTTTGGATTTTTTTTTTCCCCTGAGAAATGGGCTTTTAGGTACAAATAATCTTTTAAGTGATTTAGTTAACTCCCGGCGCTCTTTCCTCGTGGGAAGCGTGAGCATCGTGGTGCTCAGCTGATGGAGTTAAGTGTGAAAGATAAAGTTTGTAGCTGGAGACCCCTCCCCCCGAGTGTTTGTGCCGTGAAAGGTTGCAGTTCTTTGGCTTCTAAATGTTTGCCCTGTTTATGTAGAACATCAGTTTACTTAAAAAATATATACTCACACACACACTCACACACACACACACACACACACACACACTCACACACTGAGTGGCCAGATTATTATGACCTCCCCATCAGTACAATGAAGTGAATTAGTTATGCAAATAATAATAATAATAATAAAACCTTGAGAGTATTTGCTTGGGAAGTTTTCAATATTCAGTATTTTTGGAAGTGTCAATGAAGTACTGATGGGGCGGTCATAATAATCTGGCCACTCAGTGTGTGTGTGTGTGTGTGTGTGTGTGTGTGTGTGTGTAGATATATATATATATATTTAAAGCCTTTTTTTAGAAAAAAATACTTTATTTTGACATAATTTTACAAATATAGAAAAGCTACAAAAATAATGCAGAGTCCTCTACAGCTTACTTTAATGTTAACACCTGCATAACTGGAACAATGATCCAAACTAAGAAATTAACATAGGCCCAATTCTATACCAATTTTCTTCAAATTGACATCATTTTTTAAAAATATATATATTTTATTGATTTTTTTACAGTGAAGAAGGGAGAGGGACAGAGAGCCAGAAACATTGATAAGAGAGATTGATCAGCTGCCTCCTGCCCGCCCCCCAGTGGGGATGTGCCCTTGACCGGAATCGAACCTGGGACCCCTGAGTCCACAGGCCGATGCTCTATCCACTGAGCCAAACCAGTTTGGCAAATTCCCATCATTTTTTATACACATGACCTTTGTACCAGGAACCAATGTAAGGTCCCACATTGCCTTTAGTTGGCATGGCTCCTTAGTCTCGTCCACTCCGTGACAGCTCAGTCTTTTTCTGTCTTTCATGGTCTTTATGCTGTAGAAGATTGCTGGTCAGTTATGTTGGCAGTTGGGTTTTGCCTGAAATTTTCTCATGATTAAGGTGAGGCATTTTTGTTGATACCCCAGAAGCATGGGTGCCCTTCTCGGTTCAGCATTTATGATATAACACACTGCATTTTATATTACTTTTGATCGTTTAGTTAAGGTTGTGTCTGCTGGGATTCTCTAATGGAAAGCTACTATGTACTTTACATAGGGAACTTTGTAAACAATTCATATCCTGGGAGAGAACTTGTAAACTATGCAAACATCCTGTTTCTCCTCAAACTTTCACTTTCTAATTTTAGCATCCATCAGTGGATCTTGCCTTCAGTAATTATTATAGTAATGGTATGATGGTGGCTTTCTGTTTCCCTCATTTCTTCATTTATTAATTTAAGTTCTTCTTAAGGAAAAGCTGCCCTTCCCATTTATGTGATATTCAGTTATTTATTAGTATCAGTATGGATTCATTCATTTTTCTATTGTTTATTCTACACTGTTGTCATTTATTTTAGGCTCATGTTGTTCCAGCTTTGGCCTTTGGGAGTTTTTTCAGTTGCTTCTTGTGCCCCTTTGACAAACCTCTATCCTTTTTTTTTTTTTTGAGAATTTCTGGCACCATAAGATGCTCTAGGCTTATCTTGCCCCAGCCCTGTAATCAACCACTTCTCCAAGGATCCCTGGTTTTTTGTTTGTTTATTTGTTTTTTAGAGTGTTATTTAAACACCAAGATCTAGATTAGGCAATAGGAATGCTCATTGCTACTGGGGTATCATTTCTTCTAGTGCCTGGCATATATATATATCTCCTATCTAATAAAAGACAAAAAGGGTAATTAACCATACCTCCGCTATGCTTCCCATTGGCTAATCAGCGAGATATGCAAATTAACTGCTAACAAAGATGGCGGTTAGCAGCCATGCAGCTGAAGCGAACATTAGGCTTGCTTGCTCCAGTGATGGAGGAAGCCAAGGTTCCCCGCCTGCCACGGCCCGGCTCTGGGCTCCGAAAGCAACAGCTCCAAAAGCAACAAAGTTTCAATTATAGAAGCTAAACAAATCCCAGATACCTGCTTTCAGCAGGCCGCGGCCTCAGAGCTGGGAGTGCCAGTGACGGCAACAGAGTTTTTCAATTATAGAAGGTAAATAAATCCCAGAATAAAAGAAAAAAAGGAGAGGCTGGGAGCTTCAGTTGCCAGCCAGCCTGAAAACAGCCCTCAGCCCCTCACCCAGGCTGGCCAGGCACCCCGGTGGGGACCCCCACCCTGAAAGGGGTGTGACCAGCTGCAAACAGCCATCAGCCCCTCACCCAGGCTGGCCAGGCACCCAAGTGGGACCCCCACCCTGATCCGGGACACCCTTCAGGGCAAACCAGCTGGCCCCCACCCGTGCACCAGGCCTCTATCCTATATAGTAAAAGGGTAATATGCAGACTTGCCGGAGTCCAACCCCAGCAGGTCCAGGGGTCCCCAAAGGTGTGGATGGAGTCGGCGAAGAAGGAATGACACAGAGACAGTGTTCAGTTGATCAGCAGCCTAGCCAGGATCTCTAGCCAGGATCTCCAGCCAGGTTCTGTGTCCATGTTCTCTTGCTAGGTTCTCCAGGTTCTCCAGCCAGGTTCTGTAGCCATGTTCCCTCACTAGGTTCTCCAGCCAGGTTCTGTGTCCATGTTCTCTTGCTAGGTTCTCCAGGTTCTCCAGCCAGGTTCTGTAGCCATGTTCTCTAGCTAGGTTCTCCAGCCAGGTTCTGTGTCCATGTTCTCTTGCTAGGTTCTCCAGGTTCTCCAGCCAGGTTCAGTCACCAGGTTCTAGTCAGGTTCTCTTGCCAATTTCTGTAGTCAGGTTCAGTTCAGGATCTTTTGCCATGTTCTCTCGCTAGGTTCTGTCTCTAGGTTCTGAGGCCAGTTTCTGCCCAGGATCTTTTGCCATGTTCTCTCCAGCGAAGTTCTTCTGTCTTTAGAGAACGTTCTGTGGAGGTTCTGTGTCTCCTGGTTCTGTCTTCTTAGTTCTGTGTTCTAAGCTCTGTATTCTAAGTTCTGAGTCTTGCTGTCTTGTTACATCTGTATTTATACCAGTTGATTCAATCCTATCAATCTCTATTACAAAGGTTAGGGCGTTTCTTATCTCCATTCCAGGGAGTAAAGATTATGTAGCTTAAGCATGATTGTTCGTAGTTAAAGTGATTAATTACCCGCCTGGCACTTAGTTGAGGGGTTTTATTCCCTCCCTAACTTCAGGGGAAAATCCCTACCTGGGGAAACAACCTTTCTCAGAGACCTTGGTTAAAACACATAGTGCCAAGAAGGTGAGCAAACATATTAAGAACAGTATGCCATATATGCCAGGTCCTTTGAAACAGCAAGGATGGACCGGCTCCCGGCACAAACTGACCCTAACAGCAGAAAGACTGGGAATGACTGGTCACTATGTCACACACTGACCACCAGGGGGCAGACGCTCAATGCAGGAGCTGCCTCCTGGTGGTCAGTGCGCTCCCACATGGGGGAGCTCTGCTTAGCCACAAGCCAGGCTGATGGCTGCCAGTACAGCGGTGGTGGTGGGAGCCTCTCCTGCCTCCTCAGCAGCACTAAGGATGTCCGACTGCAGCTTAGGTCTGCTCCCCACTGGCAAGTGGACATCCCCCGAGGGCTGCCGGGCTGCCAGAGGGATGTCTTATTGCTAGCTTAGGCCCAATCCCCCCGGGGAGCAGGCCTAAGCCAGCAGGTGGTCATCCCCCGAGGGGTTCCAGACTGCGAGAGGGCACAGGCGGGGCTGAGGGATCCCCCCGCCCCAAGTGCACAAATTTTTGTGCACAGGGCTTCTAGTATACACACACACATGTAAGCTATTTATATATGGAGATATATATATACAGTATGGGGATATATATATATATAAATCTGTAAATCTATATGCACATATATCCAGGCATACACAAAGATTTATATTTATTTATATATATAGACATCTATGTGTATATATATATATATATATATATCTGTATGTATATATATTGTTTATATATATTTTATAAAAACAAAAGTTTATTCTGATACCTCTGATTCTACTCTAACACCACAGGATTCATTCTGTTCTTGCCCCTTACTTGTAATTTCTTTCTTTGACAGCAAGAAATCTGGTTTCCATATTCTACAAAATATTTTATTTGTTCAACCCTAGTAGATACATAATTTCAGTATTTCTAACATAAATGTTAGACAAATAGTTGATAATTTATAAGTCTATTATATGTTAAATATAATAAGAAAAACATACCTGGTAGTAAAACCAACATTTCACATGAGCAGGCATTTCATGAAAGAAGACATGCAAATGGATAATAAATCAATCCCATTAGTAATTTAAAAATCTCTGTATATAAAAGCCTAAGCAACCTTTCTGACCTAACTACCAGAATGACTGGAATGACCGGTTGACCAGTCACTGACACGCACTGACCACGAGGGGGCAGATGCTCAGTGCAGGAGCTGCCCCCTGGTGGTCAGTGTGCTCCCACAGACAACCTCCTGCGGCCAGCCAACCTCCCACAGTCCTTCCCCTGGCCAGCCCTGATCACCAGCCAGGCCTAGGGACCCCACCTGTGCACGAATTTGTGCACCGGGCCTCTAGTTGAAAAATAAAACAAGAATGAGACACCATTTTTTTGACCAGTTAAATGTCTAAGAAGAATGATAATAGCAAATATTAAATCGATAAATGGGCATTTTGATGTGTTGCTAGTGGGAATGTCAATAGGCACAACCTTTTTAAGGACATTTGGTATCAAACATTCTAAAAAATGTGTATACCTACTAATTCTATTTCAAGATATTTAACTTAAAGATGTAACAATAGATGGTATTTTGGTGCATGTGTAAGGAGGGTAATTACACTGTGGCATAGTTTATAATGGTGGGAAATTAGAAACAACCTATGTAGCCAACTATAGATGATTAGCTAAATTATAGAACATCTGTGCCAAGTAATACCATGTGTTATAAAAAGATGCATTGTAGCCCTGGCCAGTGTAACTCAGTTGGTTGGAGCAGGGGTCCTCAAACTACGGCCCGCGGGCCACATGCAAATACAAATATTGTATTTGTTCCCGTTTTTTTTTACTTCAAAATAAGATATGTGCAGTGTGCATAGGAATTTGTTCATAGTTTTTTTTTAAACTATAGTCCAGCCCTCCAACGGTCTGAGGGACAGTGAACTGGCCCCCTGTTTAAAAAGTTTGAGGACCCCTGGAGTGTCATCTCATACATCAAAGGGTGGCAGGTTCGATCCCCAGGCAGGGCACATACCCAGGTTGTGGGTTCAATTCCCAGTTAGGGTGAGTGTGGGAGGCAACCAATCGATGTCTCTCTCTCACAATGTTTTTTTTTTTCTCTCTTCCCTCCCTCCGTAAAATCAATTAAAAAACAAAAAACATATCCTCTGGTGAGAATTAATAATAAGAAGATACATTGTAGAAAAATAATTTTAATGGAAACATTTTTATTATACATAATCAGGTTATTTAAAATAGACCCTTTCTTTAAACCCTTTCTTTATTCATTTTATTCATTTATTTACCCAGTAACAGAATACTTTATTATATTGATTGCTCTTTGCCATTCCACTCTGTTGAGTTTATTTTCTTTATTAAGTATGCACTTTAGTAGTTCTTTTAATAATGTGCTTGGTAATGAACTCAGTCTTTATATACCTGGTAATTATTATTTTACCTTCACTTCTAAATAATAATTTCCCTGGGTATATACCAACTCCCTTAGCACTTTGAAGATATTCCTGTCTTTTGATATCCTGCTTTGATGAAAAGTTTGCTGCTTTTATTGGTTTAGTTTATCTATCTTTTATCTTTAATTTGGTTTTTAAGATTTTTCTCTTTGTCCTTGATGTTCTGCAATTTCCCTTCCATGTGTTCAGGTAAATTCATTTTTTTTCTATTTATGCTACTTAGGGCTTATGTGCATCTTCAATT